ACACACACACACACACACACATATACACCCTCATACACAGACACCCACACACACGCATATCTGTAACGGCTTTCTGTGGAGCTGCTTCCAGCATTGCAATTTCACGTGGGAATGGGCTGAGAACCTGCAGCATCCCGAGCTGCTCTGGGCCACCAGGTCACGTGACACACAGACTCAATTGCTGTGAAATGTAGCCGTAAGTCAGCGCATTCGTACTGCACTTGGGTAGTGTGGCTGGGTGATGTAGAAATGCGGCCCTGCGGTGAGACTGCTGCCTTGGCTAACTCTGCATCTTTCCCCCCTGTCCATCCACCCCCATGCATGGCAGCTGATGTGATTGATGGATGTTCTATAGCTCTGAACGTGGCACAGACATTAATAATGTGGCCCTGAATCGCAGTCTCTGTGGTCCGGCTGCTTCCGGATTGGTTCATCGTGTGTGTGCGTCTGACTGCTGACTGTCCTCGTGAGGCCTGCCCCCAACCCAAACGTTACCAGCGGGTCGCAGTTAAACGCCTCCTGTAATAATGACGCACATGCGAACTGCTGGGGCTGAATCACCGCTCCTGCCTGTGGCAGTATGGATTTTTCAACCACCACAACCTGGACAGGTTTGTCATAAAGGATCCTGTTTATTTTACTTTTCTTTTTGTACAATTGATTAGGTCTCAGGTGGCTTAAACATATAATTATCTCGGCCAAAACTGCAGGTCTCTGGTTGCAGTGGACATGACATCACCCCACCGTCAGAAAGAGATTGTGTTTCACACCTGAGTCAGAAACATTACTTTTATTTTGCTTTTCAGGATCGCCCCATGCTCGCGGTGTTAGCCGCCCAGTGGATCGCAGTCTGTATGAATCATTAACCCCCCGCTCAGTATGCTGCGTACAGCACCGGGGGAATGGGGGGGTGCCCCAGTACCGGCTGCAGGGACTGTTTCCATGTCAACCACGTTGTTTACCTGCCGGGAGGGGATAGGAGCCAGCGTCCTTGTTAGCTCTCCACACCGCACACGCTCAGCAAACAGGTGCAGGTCCTGAGCGGCCCCTTGGGATCGCTTGTATGGCCTGTCCATTCAGACCCGGCCCCTCCCTCTGCCCTGCGATTGGCCCATTCCGCTTGTCTGTGTGTTGGGGGTGCGAGAGGCAAAGGTTCATGTGTTACTGCATGCGATGATACATGTCGGGGGCCTTTACCGATAATGTGGTTGGGGTCGTCATGCAGCACTGCAAATTAATGTCAGCCCGGTAGGTGGGGGGGGGCATGTATAACAGCATCATCTAACCCCCCCTCCCAACTGCAATTAAAGGCCATTCTGCTGTTGTGCAGTGGAGGAAGGAGGGGGATTCAGATGAAGGGTTCTGCCCCTGGAGAGGCAGAGAGGGTAACACACCGTCTCATTAACCAAGGCTTCGCATCTCATTTGCATGCAATTACTGAGCATTATGGGGCATTTGATACGCCAAGGCAAATGCTCTCTTGTGGGTTTGCCCCCCCCCCCCATTTAAGTAGAATGTGAAGGAATTTTAGATAGATTTGAAAAGGGGGGACCAGTTGTTGTCAGGATAATGTGCAGGAATACGGCACACATTTGTGGGGGTGCATTTTCCCTAATCACCCTCTGCTTCCCTGTCTGTCTTCTGAGCCTGACTCCTTCCCTTTCTGGCAACTCTACTGAAATGTCTCCTTTAAGGGTCCAGCACCAGACCCTCAGACCAGTTAATGAGAGCTGAAGGGGCAGCTTTCAGGTGACACGTCCGTGTTTGTAGCCCTGTGCCATCGGCCCACCTGTACCTCGACCACAAAAGGCCACTGCTCGGCATTCGTGCCCTGGGGCTGTGGGATTAGGTTCTCCTGGGTTATCTGCTGTCACTTTGAGGCTGGACTCCTGTCAGTCTGCAGGCAGCCAGTGGCAGCGTCGGTTTGTGGCCAGCGGTCTCTCTGCACCCGCCGCCATGTCTACAGCAGACCAAGCCTCCACTCTGTAGTCCTGCTTAGTGCTCACAAGCAGACCGAGGTGGCAGGATACAGCGGCCCGTAGTGTCAGCTCCGCGCTCCACCCCGGCCACGTGCCCCCCTCTCCTGCCCTGCGCCCCCCTCTCCTGCCCCGTGCTCCGGATTTTGCTTGATTGACGCCTGTCTTGTCCCGTCTCCAGGGGCTTTGTGCATGACAGCAGAAACAACCTGCAGATGCGGGGCCTAGTTGTGCTGCTGATGTCCAAGGCAGCCGGTCCAAGCTCCGCCTCCTCTGGGCTCCTGCAGCAGGATATGGTCAGTGGGATTTACCCCAGGTAAGCACTCTTACCAACTAACACATGGTCTGCACTCACATTTACCATTTAACTATCAGCATTGGGATTTGCTGTGTGAGGTCTTGCTGCTGCTCCCATCTACAGGCTCTTGGGGGGGGGGGGATTTCAGTCAGTTTTTCAGGAAGATTAGACATCAGAGGGGCAGGGATGAAACAGACGCACCTGCATTTAATGCTGGTAAGGTGGCCCCTCCTTTACCTCTGAATCGGCATGGCTGTGTTGCGCTTTTACTTTAGCGCTGTTTCAGCTGACCTTCAGTACATGTGCCGTGTGAGTTTCCGGAAGCTTCCAGATTCTCCATCTCCCGGTTAACATGTCATACTCACATCTGTCCAGAAAGCGCTCAGCCTGCTACTGAGGAAGAGGAGAGGCTGGAACTGGCTTCATCTTCTCTGTGCTGCTGGGAGAGGCGGATCCTGCTGCAGTGGCAGCTGGCTTGAAGTATAATGACGATGATAATGATTTAAACATTGGCGCTCCCTACACGCAGACTTTGTGCATTTTTCCTGCTCCCAGGTGGCGCTGTTCATACTGGTTATCTGCGGTGGGGACAGGCGATTAATCAGTGCTGTTCACCATGGGCCCCTCTGTGACACTCAGGAAGGGTCTGTAACGTGGAAAATCTCAGTCCCGTCTTTAGTTTCACTGCTGAAAACAATATGCAGAAGCCCTGACTCTCTGAAGACCGTCACAGCAAATGAAGGTCTCATGTTAGCAGGAACTGCCATGTGTTTTTCAGTAAGGTCTTTTATCCAAAGTGACCCAGCTTTCATTTTTACCTTTATTACCCATTTGCTAATTTGTTGTTTTTTTTTAAGTCTGCTAATGGCTGAGGATCAAGCCCGGTTCACAGCAGAGCTGTAGATCGCTTTTGTTTTCACTCCTCACCTCAGAGAGTTGGAATATTGCTATATAACCGTGGCTCTGTGAAGTGGGTCAGAAACTGAGTTCTGTGCTTTTCCTGATCTTGTCGAACTTGATTATTTGGAGCCGGGGTCTGGTCACAGCCCCAACGCGCCCCTGGCCTGCCCACGCCTCCCTCGTCACCATGTTTTCCGTGGGATGGGGAAATGAAAAAGCAGGATGCGGCCCAGTGGCGGGCAGTTTGAGGTGTATTTTGTTGCCGCTCCGTGCCAAGGGGTTACCAGAAGCTGCTGTTTAGCTTGGCCCACAGCTGCCTCTGTCTCAATGACCTCTTTCTTGGCGGGGCGGTGGCACGCCTTGGGCTTGGGGAGGGGGTGTCGGGCCAGACGGGAGTCCTGTTGGCCTCCTCGCCCACCCTATTGGTCACGTCCCCCGCAGTAGCCCATTCTTCCGCTGGGCCCAGACGAGGAAGTGACCTCATTGTTCCAGGCCTAGGCCCTTCTGCCAGGCCGGTGTCTCCCGTTTCCGGCACGCAGCTCCCTTCAGTGTGGAACTATGATTGTGGGTGTTCTTGGTGAGATGGGGCTGAGGGGGCCAATTCAGTCTCTGACAGTATTTTCAGAGTGAGGGGGGTGTAATGGACCGCCATTTCCAGACAGTGGATGGCATTTAAACACCCCACCCATCAAAAACAACGTGTGACGACGTTACTGCAATTTGACCTGCTGTATCGGTGCCCAGAGGGACCGAGAGGCTGCCTGGCCGGCCCCCGCCCCCGCACGCATGTAGAAGAGCACAGGATCTGTTCTGTGAGGCTGACAGACATTTCCCACCTGCGACCACACACCCGCAGATCTGCAGGGACGCGGGCCGGGGGTGTGGTGTCAGAGTTCACATGGCCAGCCACTGTGCTGCCTGTGCTGAGGGACATTGGTGAAGTCATGCATACATCAGCAACACACACACTAATACAGTAATGAAACTGTCCTTTTTCACCTGTCTGGGCTGTTCTCATGCACAG